CCAAGGATATTATCAGTTCCAAAGAATTAACTCTGTGAAGTCTGAGCCAGCTTGCCTGCCTGTGTTTGTGTGAGTTTGTATTCTTTCATCTTTTGGGAAAGAAGAAAAGTGAGACAGAACATTTTTGTCCCGTACCTGACTTGAACCATCTTCTACTTAAGATGGACCAGCAGCAGCAGCTTCAACAACAGCTGCAAGATGAAAATCAAACTCTACAACAGCAAGTGGCTCAATTAACAGCCCAAATTGCTTTGCTGCAGGCTCATGCAGCTCCTCCTCCCCCTCCCCATCAGAAATGCCCAGTGGCTGTGCCAGTTAAGTTTTCTGGGCAGCCTGAGATGTTCCAGGCTTTTATGGGACAGTGCCAGTTATTTTTGGCTATGAGGCCAGAGGATTTCCCAGATGACTGGGCTCGGGTGGGGTTTGTGATAAGCCTCCTTTCTGGCTCGGCCACCAGATAGGCCACACCTTTGTTACTCAAGAACAGCCCATTATTAACTAATTTCCAGGATTTTTGGCAACACATGCACCACATGTATGAAGGCCCCATACGAGTGCAAACGGCAGCCAGGTGTCTTAAGGACCTTCACCAAAGGAGGCACCTCCTGCAAGAGTTTATTTCTGAATTTCAGCTTTTGTGCCTGGACTCCAACTGTAATGATGCAGCGTTAAATGGATGCCTTCCAGGATGGCCTTTCAGATGAGCTGCAGGACAAGTTAGTTCGAGTGGAACCAGCCCCGACCCTCAACGCTCTGGTGGTGCAATGCTTGCGCATTGTCGCATGTCTCCAACAGTGAAAGAACCATCGCACTGTCCAGGAGCAGCCATCGGCATTTGTACCGGAGCGCCCTGTACTAACAGCACCCTGGGTCACCCAATGTGTCATGGCAATGGCCGAGGAGCCAATGGAGTTAGGAGCGGTCAGACCTTGCCTGATGGCCCAGGAGCAAATGCAGAGACGCCAAGGGGTTTTGTGCTTGTATGGGGGGGGGGGGGGGGCAGGACATTTTGCTATTTCTTGTCCTCTAAAGCGAAGTGGGGCACTCAAGCCTGTTCCTGAATCTCGGTGTGATCAGTCAGAAAATGGGGCAGGCCTGACCTGGGGGGAACACTAGGCCAGGCATGTATCAAACACCCACCTGAATTAGCGGGGGTTGACTCTGGGCCCCCTCGGCATCTGATTTTGGACACTTGGGTTTTCTTGGCTAACCAGTCGGAAGGGATTCCAGCGAATGCGCTGGTGGACTCAGGGGCCACGACTAACTTTATGGACAGGCCTTTGGGGCCCATTTGATGTCGCCTTGGTTCTGGTGAACCTCCGATGAGGGTTGAGACTATTGATGGGCGGGAACTTATTGCAGGACCCATTAAATTCGCCACCCAGCCTTTGAGCCTAGTCATTGGAGAACATGAGGAGGCGATCCACTTTTATATCACCACGGACCTCCATTTCCCATTAGTCCTCGGCATGGCTTGGCTTAGGATTCATGATCCTCAGGTGGCATGGTCGCGGAACGCCTTTTTTTTTCTGAGTCTGCAGTGCGTGGACCACTTCCTCCACACCTGTGCTGGCCAGGACATCACCACCTCTGCCGTTTCCATATCTCCTGAACTGATGGACTTCACAGATGTGTTCAGTGAGAAGGAGGCGGACCAGTTACCCCCACATCGGCCCTATAATTGCTCAGTGGACCTTCTGCCTAATGTACCACTGCCAAAGAGATGATTGGACTCCATGTCCGAGCCCGAGCTGGCTGCACTATGGGACGTTTTGGAAAAAAACTTGGCCCGAGGGTTCATCCGGCCTTTGTCGTCCCCCATCTCAGCCCCGGTCCTCTTTGTCAAGAAGAAGACGGGAGACTTACATTTGTGCTGTGATTACTGCCGGCTAAATGCCATCACGGTGCAGAATAGCTACCCCTTGCCGCTCATTCCAGAGTTGTTGGAGTGGTTGTGGAAGGCCGCTATCTTCACCAAGCTCGATCTTCGAGGGGCCTACAACCTGGTGCGGATGCGAGAGGGGGATGAATGGAAGACGGCATTTGGCACCCAATACGGCCATTTTGAGTACTCTGTGATGCCGTTTGGGTTGACCAACGCCCCCGCAGTCTTCCAGCACCTGATGAATGATGTGTTTCGTGATATGTTAGATCGGTTCCTGGTGGTGTACCTGAACGATACTCTGATCTATTCTGGGTCCAGGGACAGCCATCTTCAACACGTTCGTCTGGTCTTGCAATGCCTTCAGGAGCACTAACTTTATGCGAAGCTGGAGAAATGTTTCTTCTTCCAGACTTCCATTGAGTTCCTTGAGCACATCATCTCTCCCAAAGGCATCGCCATGGACCTGCCTAAGGTGGAGGCCTTATGTAGTTGGGAACCCCCTCATGGCATGAAGGATGTTCAACACCTATTAGGGTTTGCTAATTATTACCAGACCTTCATCCCGGGTTTTGCCAAGCTGACGGGTCCAAGAACCCAGCTCCTTCGAAAGAAGGTCCCGTTCCAGTGGGGCCCCCTGCAGCAACAGGCTTTTGAGGCCCTCAAGAATGCTTTCGTTGCAGAACCCATCCTGAGGCACCCTGATCCGTATTGTCCTTTTGTGGTAAAGACAGATGCGTCCAACATGGCTATTGGGGCGGTGTTGTTGCAAGCCCTGGTGGTTAGCGACACTCTTTTCCCCTGCGCTTATTATTCCCAGAAACTCCCGGAGTTGTAATTGCCTTCCGAACGCAATTACACCATCTGGGAAAAAGAGTTGCTGGCTATCAAGGCTGCGTTTGAGGCTTGGCGACATCATCTTGAGGGGGCCTGACACAAGGTGGAGGTCTGGAGGGACCATCAGAATTTAGAACATTTGTCAACGGCAACAAAGTTGAACCAGCGGCAGATCCGGTGGTCGTTGTTTTTTGCCCGGTTCAACTTTTCTGTGACCTATATCCCCAGTGGTCACAATCAGAGAGCGGATGCCCTGTCCTGCAAACCCGAGTACCTTTTCCCCGAGGACCCCTGTCCTCCACAGACAGTGCTGCCAGCACAATCCTTGGCTGCGGTCCAAGAACTGGTGGACTTGCAGACTCAGGTGCGAGAGGCACAGCACCTAGACGCTTGGTCACAGCAGAGGATGGGGGAGATTGGACCCGAATCCCCATGGACTTTGGAGGGGGCTTTACTCAAGCATTGGGGCCAGTTGTACGTACTCACAGGGCCACTTCAAGCCCTTATTATGACTCGGTGTCACGACAACCCTGCAGCCGCAAATTCATCCAGTCTTCCACCTTTCCCTTTTGGTCTCTGATGCCCCTTTATGTTATCTCCGACGTCCCACAGCTGTTGATCCACCACCTGTGCCCAGGGAAGATGGCGCAGTAGAAAGCAAGGTGGCCAGCATTAGGGACTCCTGCTGGCTGAAAGGGCAATTCCAGTATTTGATCGAGAGGCAGGGGGATGGGCCAAAGGCCCTCTCCTGGGTGGATGCTTCCACGATCCATGCCCTGGATCTTATACAGATGTTCCATGACCATTTCCCCTTGAGACTACATCCTGCCTGTCAGACTCGGGGGAAGGGACCTCTGATGGGGGATAGTGTTGTGGCCCCAATTCCCGAGCCTATGCTGTCAGAGGAAGGAGACCTGGATGAGGAGGAGGAACTGGGAATGCCTTCCTCCCCAGGACCTTCCTCTTTGGCAATGCCTTCCTCCCTGATAATGCCTCAGGTTTCATCAGACAACTGAGAGGAACAGCCTGAGATTAATCAGGAGGAAGGCATAACGGAGCATCCCCTGACAGGGAGAAAGGAGGAAGACTGTTGGCTTGATCCTAAGCAGCGTCGTAGGGAGAAAAGTGAGCAGCAACATAGGAGGTGTGGGAGGGTCAGAGAGTGAGCTGACTCATTGAGCCACACCCCACAGGGGATAAAAGTGGGTGTGTTTTCGGCTGGAACCTTGTAAGGGACAAAGTTTAATCTTATTTCAGATTTTCTTCGTGAATGATTTTGTGGACTGCCTTGTAATTTTCTGTGAGTAGATTTTTATTTGTTATCAGTTCAGACTTGGCAGGCAAAGCGTGTTGGAATGCCAAGGATATTATCAGTTCCAAAGAATTAACTCTGTGAAGTCTGAGCCAGCTTGCCTGCCTGTGTTTGTGTGAGTTTGTATTCTTTCATCTTTTGGGAACGAAGAAAAGTGAGACTGAACATATAGATGTTAGGATAGATTCTCCAAATCTATGCCAAGCTGTTTGGATCAGAAATGTTCACTGAAGTAATCAAAAGGTCAAGATGGAAGTTGTGTTTGTGTAGGGACATTGCATGCATAATAGATATAATAATCATCTATTTGTGATTGCCACCTTGAGTTTTTAAACCCCTTTCCCTGATGGCGGCCGCTGGTCTGGCTGTATTTAGAAGTTGTTGGTTGGAGAAGTCTTTATGATAGAGATAGAATGATAGAAAGCATATTTTTAAAATTTTGTGTTGAAGGAAACTCATGAGAATATCATGGATGCACAAGAAAACAAACAAATGAATCATTCAGCAAATCAACTCAATGTTTTCAATGGAGGCACAAATTGGACAATGACAATTTTGCTTCCTGGACCCTTTTTGGTGTATCTTTTAGATTTTTGGCTGCTAATAATGAAAATAACCTGTAATTTAACTTATCACATACCATTTTATAAAAAATATTCTGTTTATATACAAGGGCAATGCATGTTTTTAGTGCCTATTGTCTATGCTACTCACATCCAGTACACCAAGTACAATTGGAATACCTGTGGAGATCTAAAATTAGTGGCACTGCTGCTTGGAATGAAGATATACCTCAGATATACCAAGTATTGTTGGTTTCTGTTGTTATGTATACAAATAAAATAGCCGTACAAGAGAATTGCATAATGTTAAAAAGAAACTGCCACTCTGTTTGGTTCCAGGACAGAAAAAATGTGGTATATGAACCACCTGTTGGCCTAACAAAGATATTTTTTACCTCTATTTCAGATAAAACTTGGACTGATGAAAAATTTTCTGGAAGCAATGAACAAGTACACTGAAGAGTTTTGTTATTTGAGGTGGATATCGCCAAGAATAATTAATGCCAAGACTAAGGAAGGCATTTTTGTTGGCCCACAGAACAGATACATCACCAATGACATATGATTCAAAGATCTGCTAGTGGCGCCACAGAAAATCATCTGGAAAGCATTCAGTGAAGTTGTTGAGAATTTTCTTGGAAACTACAGAGTACCAAACTACATCCAGTGGTTGACAAACTTCTTATAGCATTCAGCCTTGGACTTCTTTCCCCAAATTCTAGGTGCCATCTGTGATGAACATGGTAAAAATTTTCACCAATAAATTTACACAATGAAAAACAATATCAACACAACTGATCAATCTGGCTGACTAATGTTGAACAATGCAGCCAGAGGCATCAAACACTGAGTACAAACCAAAACCATCAGCAAAACACTTTTGGCTTTGTTGAATTTATGTAGCATGTTGGCAACATTATGTAGTTAAATGTTTTGTAGTCATTAAAATTAATTTCATATTTCTCAATATTCCTACATTATGCAATCATTATAAAATTATATTTTGTGTTCAGTTTGAAGGGCTCTATCATAATCACCAAAATTTATCAGGAAGCAGAACCTTTGAAAAAAATTATTGTCCAAGTTGTTCAACCAAGTTGAAATAATACTTCTTTTGAAACATTATCCAATATCTTGCTTTCTAGGTTACTAAAAATTGACATCAACTTGACAATACCTGATCCATTACTCAATATAGTAAAGCAACTTGGATTTAAATATCTGTATAACTCTGGAGTCAATAGCAAATCTTGGTATAGTTGCCATCTTTAAGTCAAAACCTACTCCCATAATTAGTATAATAAAATTTGGAAAACATTGGATTAAAACAGGAAAGTTTTAGCAGATAGAGTAGCATACAGAATTCTCAATGTTCCCCAGGTATTAAATTTGGGAAGGAAGAAAGATGTACCCTGTGCTGACATCTTGTAGAAAAGAAAGAACATAAGCCTAATGAAGAAAGAATAAAAATAAATGCACAGGCGGGTAAATAAAACTTTATCATTTGAATAATAAAAGTTACCTTCAAAGTTTATGCCTAAAATCTGAATGATTTTTTAATTTGTTACATGCAGTTCCTGACAAATACCATTACACCCAGTTTCTTGTTAATATTTTAAAACAAGATCTAAAGAGAAATTATATTATAAAATGAGGTTTTCGGTTGGCAGGAATTTATCTATTGTGCAAAAGTGAATTCTACTTATTAACAGTATTCAGCTCTGAAACATATATCTCAACACAGCAGGCATTAATAAATCATGAATATTAATGTAATCCAAATCAATATAGTTGCTCGACTCCAGTTTAAATTAACATGGACAATATTTAAATATGGCTTTTGAAAACACATTCTTGGACAGCATTGCATATAATAGCCAGATTTAGATCAGCATTCTCTGCCTTTTCCTCCCCGATTCGCTAGAGAGAATATTACAAACTGTATTAAACTAGCAAGAGGTGTATTTTATTTGACTGGCAAGAAAAAACAAGGTTGGGAAATGGAAGTTGTTTCAAGAAAAGCCAGAGCTTCACTATCCTCATACATTCCCCTGATTCAGCAGCAACCATCTTTGATGGTATTATTTAATTTCAATCTCAGTTTAAGGAGTTTGAAAATGGGACTTTCGAATAGATACCAGTCACATATAGATGCTCAAAATCTACAAAATATTCTCTCATGTACACTTTATGATTTGAGGAAAGAAAAAAGATGCTTGTCCCAAAGGTGCTTTTTCAGGAGGCAACTGGACTTTCTTATTTTTTCTTTTGAAGATGTTTTCATTCCCCACCATCCAATCAGAGCTGAAGAAGCTTCTTGGATGAGAAGCAAAACGTCTTCAAAAGAAAAAACAAGAAAGTCCAGTTGCCTCCTGAAAAAGCACCTTTGGGACAACCATGACCTGGATGACTGAGAATCTCTACAAAAATTATGCTTGCACACATCCACTCTTATTTATTTAACGAATTTATACAGCCACCCATCTCACGAGTAACTGATTCTAGGGAGCATACAACAAAACTAAAACAATGGACATCAATATTAATTTAAGGGCATAGCATCCAAGATTCAATGTTGGTTCCAGATTTGGTAATGACAAAAGTTGATTCAGCTTTGAAAGTCAAGATCTGAAGACAACAAAATTTGATTGGAACAGATTTGAGCGTCTGTATAAGATTGAGCCTTAGGCTATAATGGAAAAACATCAGAATGCCTGCTGTTCCATTTTTTTTGGGGGGGGGAGGGCAGAATGGAATGAAAATACTAGGGCTGGAAGATCCTTTAGACGACAGGAATCCTAAACCCCCCCACCCCCAAAATCACCTGGATATGTTGAAGTGTTTCATTGCTGTACTGTTTAAAAATATCTTCCACTATATGTATTTGTTTGAGGGCCCAAATAGCAGGAATAAAAAAGGACAATTCATCAGTTTCAAAGAGCTTGTGCTGGAGCAATACTCAAAGTGTCCTCTTCTACCTTAAAAATAAATTTTAAAAAATAGTTTTAACCAGAAAGCTCCCAAATAAAAATTAAAATGTCCACCACTCACTGACCATCAAGATCTTGCTGGTAGGACTATTAGCATGGTTCATCATTGCAATGATCATTGGTTCATCATTGGTTCATCATTCTGGGAGTTTGCATAGTGTGCTGATCTCCTTCCCCTTCCCCTTCTCCTCCTGCTTATGTATATTGAACACATAATAAACAATGACAGAAATAAGTATACATTATATACATGTATTTATTATTTATTTTAGCATATGGCAGTTATATACAATAAGTGATACATTATCTCTTCATGCAGTAAAGAAGACTGATACATTAAATACACAATCAGAAGCCAAAAATGAAATCTAGAGATTTTTTTTTTAATCATAAGGATGAAATACAAAAAATGAAAGAGAAATAAAAAGAAGTAGAAGAGGAAAATATAAGAGATGAAAAACTGCAAATGGACTTCAGATGCACCAAATCTAAGAAGGACAAATTAACAAGTCAGGCAGGTAGTCTGAGAGTCAAAGGAAGAAAAAAGCTAAGTGTGTGTGGAGTCGAGAAAAAGTAGAACACCTGAAAGAAGCAAGCCAGCTACTTTTTAAAAGATTCATTGGAACAAATCTGTCTCTCTCTTCTCTGTGTTTCTGTGCTTCTAAACAAACCTGCCTAAACAAATTCTAGCAGAAGTTTAAGAAATTGTACAGCAGTATTCTGTGAAGCAACCCAAAAGGAAGGCTCTATGGAAAAAATTAAAAAAGATAATTGCTCTTTGAGAGCCCACCAAAGCCTGGCCCCAGCTCTCTTTCTCTCTCTCTCTCTCTCTCTCTCTCTCTGAAAGCTGCAAAAATTAGTGATTCTTGGCACATTTAAAAATGTCATTTTCATTGGAACGTCATTCTCTGTCATAATTTGAGAACAGCTTTTTAAATTCAACATCTTAAGACATCACAAGATGCTTCCATTCAAAGATCTGATTTGAGGGAATATTAGATCTACCCACCTTTTATTGGATGATCTCTTGGAAACTCTATAGAGCTTTCTCTTTTTAGAACAGTTTTTCAACTCAACAACTTTAAGAGGTGTGAATTTCAATTCCCAGAATTTTGGGAGTTAAAGTTACACACATAAAAGTGGCTGAGATTGAGAAAAGAAGATCCAGCCAAGATAATTTGTCTGTCACATTTTCTCTGTGAACATTTATGCTTTCCATTTTTCTCTTGTTTTATCCCACCATATCTCCAGTTTATCTGGGTGAACCCTTGCCATTTCATTTTGCACTTGTCAGGATGGATGGAGGGATGGATGGAAGGATGGATGGATGGAAGGAAAAATGGGGAAATTGTATCAGTTTAAAATGATGGAAGGGGGAAAAAAAACCTTTTGTGTGCTGCAGCAGATGTCCCTGAGCAAGATTAGCATAGCTGTGAGCATGTTGGACTAGTCAGTTCATTGCCTGAGGAAAATTTGGAGGCAAAATTCATCAGCGCAGCTAGTGCACTTGAAAGACTCCAACACAGGGCTGTGTTCCTGGCCAAGCAACAACAAAACACCTGCTTGAAGTTGAGGGAAAAGAGCAAGCTGGCTGGAGTTCAAAAGACTGGGATGGTAATCACACATTGCTTAACAAAAAAGGGAATTACTGTGTTCCTTTGTCAGGGGGTAGCTGATTTACATAGTCTCTTCTTGGCAATGCGAACTTTTGAGATGTGCACAGTCAAACATTAAAACAAACAAAGAGGAAGAATGCTTGATACCTGTGTAATTCAACCACATTTGACTGCCTACGGTTTGTGTTAACAGCTTCCTAGTGGCTGATACAGACAAGGATAGACAGGAACCTCTTGCCTGTCTCTTCCCTCTCTGCACAAGTCAGCCCCAGATCTATTGTAGGACAGATTTCTGATTAGCTATGATTGCCTAAACATATACTTGACAACTCATGACTGTATCTTATACCAACTTGACTTTTTAAACTATATGAGCAAGATGTTTTAAATACTGTTGACTTTTTCAGCTTTTCCGAAGTTTACTGGCAAAAATAAAATTTCTGTAACAACTCATGGCAAGAGAACTCTGAATAAGTCATTGTAATTTCATACCGAATGTCTTTTTGTTCTGTAATTGAATTTTACGTGCATGCTTTGGAATTATTTTTAGATTAGTTTCCATACAGAATGTTGTCTACTGTGCGAGGAAGAAAGCAGATCTGCCATTGCTATCTTGATGCTGTTAATAATGTAGAGAGGCATAAGAGAATGAAAGCAGACAATGCAATAAAATAAGAATGACAGTAATATTTCTGGAACTTATTTAGGTTATATTAATATTATTCATTGTTATTATCAGAAGAAGTACATATATGACTATGAGTGAATGCCCCAAATTTAGGAGAATATGAAGACTGAGAATTTGAAATGATTTAATCTATCTGAAATTCATTCAGTATTTATATTCTTTTTTTGTGCCATTTGGTTTAAACTGATCTCAACACTCAATCAGAAATTGCAGATGGGCCTTTTAATCTAAAGGTTCTTGATTTATATTGTTTCTTTACAGTGACTGTACTATCCTATGGTGTAAATTGCTATTTTCTATAGTATGTCATCCTGAGCTTACTTATAAGCCCATTCTAAACAAATATACTACAACACAACTACTCTAACTATGTGGTGTAAAATCAAGCTCT